ATTAGTGAGAGCACAGTTTTTGTAGTACTGGTGATGCTTTGCCTGATGACAAAAGGCAAATGCAGCGGGTGTTAGTATCGTAATTTCAGTTTTATCCATTAAGAAATATGTACTTGGTCATAGTATCTTATTCATTTTAATCTGGTATTTTTTAGGTTAGTTGTTTTCAGTTAGGTATGCATAGCAAATTTAGGATATTTGATTGGAATAAAGATTGTTTTGAACCTGCTGGAGAGTAACTAATTTTTTTTTAGTTGGTGTTATTGCTAGCCTCTCAAAATGCATTTTCCTATATATTTGATATATCTGTGACATAGCCTGTAATTGTATTTTTTTTATATTTTCCATCCTAAGGTTTATGCGTTTGTAAATGTTGTATTCTGTGCTAGCAATTTGGGAGGCTGTGGCAGGAAAATATGAGTTTGTGGCTTACCAAGAATAAATAGGGAATTTAAGGCAAGTCGACACAACTTAATTAGCAAGACTGTGTCAATTTTTTTAATAATTTGTATTTAATAATTTTTATTTTATGTGCATTGGTGTGAAGGTGTCAGATCCCCTGGAACTGGGGTATAGACAGTTGTGAGCTGCCATGTGGGTGCTGGGAACTAAACCTAGGACCTTTATAAGATAGATCATCCAGTGCTCTTAACTTCTGAGCCATCTCTCCAGCCCCCTGTATCAAATTTTTTAAATTAATTTTTTATTAAAAATATTTTTCATTTTACATATCAACCCCAGTTCCCACTCCCTCCCCTTCTCATGCCCTCCTACTTCCCCTCCTTCTTACCCCCCATCCACTCTTCAGATGGGATAAGGCCTTCCTTGGGGAGTCCAACGTCTGGCATATCAAGTTGAGTTAGGACCAAGCCCTCACCCCCCAGTATCAAGGCTGAGCACATTATCCCAGCATAGGGAATGACTTCCAAAAATCCAGTTCATGCCCCTGGGTTAGGTTCTGGCGCCAGTTACAGATGAAGTAACAGAACTGTCACCCACAGCTGGGCGTTGGTGGTGAATGCCTTTAATCCCAGCACTTGAGAGGCAGAGGCAGATGGATCTCTGTGAGTTTGAGACCGCCTGGTCTACAGAGTGAGTTCCAGGACAAGCTCCAAAGCTACAGAGAAACTTGTCTGTAAAAAAAAAAAACTGTCATCCACATTCAAAATTTAAAAAAAAAATTATATATATAATATATATATGGGCTGGGAGTTTATAGTTCCATGGTGGAAGGCTAATATAGCATATGTAGGTCTTCCAGTCCAATCCCTAACACCAAAAAACAAATAGGAGGTGGGGGTTACTTTTTATTTTACTTTTGCTTTTTTTGAAATTATAATAAAATGATACCATTGTTTTGTTTTGAGCCAAGGTGTCACTTATGCCAGGCTGGCCTAAAATTACATATGTAGCTAATCAACCTGCCTCTGCCTTTCAAGTCTTCATTGGAAATTAACCAATTATTGTCCTTACAGTTATTCTGCCAAAGCATATTTATCTTTATCATTGGAATTGTCTCTGAAATCATTAGTTTGATACCATTTGTCTTATAAGAAAAAAATATGGAGGCTGGAGAGATAGCTCAGCAGAGCACTTCCCAGCAACCACAAGGTGACTCACAACCATTTGTAATAGGATCTGGTGGCCTTTTCTGGTGTGCATAGAGACCGGCCACTCACATAAATACATGAATAAATAAATAAATATTTTTTTCTAAAAAAAAAAATAGGTAATGCAGGATGCTGAAAATGGAGGAGAAACTCTGATTCAATGACTTAAACCTGAGCCTAAGGATGTAGCTCAGTGGTAGAACACTTGCCCAGTATGTGCAAAGCACTGAGTTCAAAACACACTAACAATAAAACACCTGAAACCCTAATCCCTTGATCAAAATTGTGGACTCATTCCTTGTCTCTACAGTCTTTGTAATTTCATACACGAGGACTCTTAAGTAGACAAGCTCTACGTGTTATGGTTCAGAGAATACCAAGTGATTTAAACCATGCACTGTGGTAGGTTTAATTGCAGATCTCTCAAAAGATATTCTTAATACTTCTTAATATATGGAACCTGTGAATATTATTGTAGATGACAAAAAATAGTAGATTTACTTAAAGATTTTGATTGGAAGACTTTATACTGAATTATACAATTATCCCTGAAGCCTGTAACAGTGTGGTTACAGATGTGAGGTAGATCTGACAAATATGCACAAAGACAAATGTTGGGAAGTCTAAGATGCAATGAACAGATGAACTCACAAGTGCCGGAAGGTGTGTGCAGCCACTGGAAACTGAAAGAGACAAGGAACCATTTCTCCACCTAGCAACTCTTTAAGGAATATGGCCTTCTCAGACCTCAGACTTTCAGCCTTCAGAAGTGCATGAAAATAAACTTTTATTGCCTTAAGTCACCAGGTTTGTGGAAGTTGTTTACATTAACTAAAGAAATTTAAGATAGCATTCAAGATTGAAGAATTTTTTGCCAATTGAGGCCATCTTGGTCTGCAGAGTGACTTCAGGATGGCCAGGGCTATGGAGAAATCCTGTCTCAAAAAACAAAACAAAAAAGGGGGAAAAGAAAGAATTATTTGCCCTAGAAGGTCATGAAATTGAAAAGGCCTTGGTTCAGAATAGTTACTTCAGTTTATGAGATTGCTTCTTGAGAGAGAATGTGTATTGAAAAAAAATACTAAGTAAATTGAAAGATGGTGCTTTCACCCCTGGAGGCTACATACACCCTGCCTGGGACAGTTTGGACAATTATCTCATTGCTATTTCTGCAGACTTCTGTCTGGGCATGCACCATGTCCCCTTGCTTTGAGCAGCATTCTTAGCTATAAATTCTATCATGGTCATCACAAAAATTTGTCTGTTTTGCAGTTTTAGATGTGCGATTTCCCATCACAACCACTGTTCCATATAATGTTCCAACAAATTGTCATACAGCAAGAAATACATAGAAATCTGACATGCAGATTTAAACAATACTCAAAAACATGGAAGTCCAAGTAACCATAGATGAGAAGTTGATGCATCATTGTGACACCTTGAACAATAGTGAAGATATGGGATGACTACACCATATTCTTTTACTTTATATACAGGGGCCTACAGTGCAGCCAGGCCGGATTTAAACTTTTGGCAATCCTCCTGCCTCAGCCTTCTGAATGCAGTGATTGCTACCATGAGTCATATGACTGGCTTACACCCTGAGTTATTAATATTTTCTTCTTTAATTTAGGCAAAATCTGCAGTGCACATGAGGGACTGAGAACAAAAATTGCCTAGCTACACACTCAGCTTCTTATATAAATTCAATATGAAAGTAAACTTACAAACTGAGTACAAGACCTTTTTAAAACTTATTATGGATCATGATATTTGCTGAAATAAAACTTTCCCGGGAAATGTAAACATACTAGTTATTGGACAGAGTATGCTCCTGGGCCTCAGAATGCTGCATAAGGGATCATATGAGGGCTCTACTTTCCCAGAGCTTATAGTCAAAATACTGCAAGTCTTCCTTTGTATAAGCTATGGATCATTCAGCCTTACCAGGCCCAGAAAGACCTCTGTGGATTGGTGCATTGGGGACTATATGCAAAACACCATCATTTGTACATTTTTTAAATTGACCAACCCAATTAGATCTTAAGGAATGATAATTTTGAAACCTACATTCTCAAAAGCAATACATTTTCTTACAATCGAAATAAAACAGCCACATTCAGTTTGTATGTGAGTACCTATATCCAGAACATGGGGCGGGCTATCCACATCACTGAAATCCACGTTCTTGGAAAAGGACTGAGGGTGTAACTCAGTGGTTGAAGGGTGGTGAGGCAGGCTCAAGGCCCTAGGTTCACTTCCCATCATATAGTGATACACACATGTGTTTTAAACATGCAGATTTTTGTTATCCTTCAAATTGCCAGAACTTTCCATAGCATTTATACACTCTAGAGATGATTTAAAGTCTTTTGGAAAATGTGTGTAGGGCATATACAAATACCTTATCATTTTATGTAAGGAACTTGGGTTTCCAATTTTCCTAGTTTTAGGGATCCTGTAATCATGATTAATCAGATTTGTTTCACAGGGATAACCAGGGATGTGAATATACATTTTTAAAAGGACATTTAAAAAGCTGAATATTAAAACAAAAACATGCTTCAGTGCTACGAGAAAGGCGCACCATGTGACACCTTCCTTGTAAGTTGATTTAAGTCGAACGAGTTAAGCTGCATAATATCAACTGAAGCAGGGTTGCGGGACATAACAGCAGGACTAGTACATTAAGTCTCCTTTGGGAGGTAGAGAAAGCTTCGCTGAGAAGATAGCAGCGCTTGAGCTGGGGATTTAAGGATTAGCAGAGGAGACTGGCAAGACATTCCAGGGTACACAAAGGAAAGAAAGCACAAAACACAAAAGAATATTACTGTCTAGCAGCTCTCAGTAGCCTAGCGGTTGTATCAGGTTTTTTGGAGCGAGGTGACTTAAAAGTGAGGCGGGAACTTTCTCCCCCCTCTCTATGGCCCATTGCCCTTACAGCTCACTGCTTTGGACAGGCAGACATGCTGCAGGAGCTCAGTACAAGCAGACTCTAGACAGAGTGGTCCAGCGTGCTGGTGTCCAAGGGCATCCGGAACTCTTTTTTTTTTTTTTTTTTTTTTTTTCTCATACTCCCTCGCTGTGACCTTGGCTAAGTCCCTAGTCCTAAGGGCTCTGGCCTTGTTTTGGCCATCATTCCGTTCTTGAGTGGGAGTGGTAATCACAAGGAGGAGGTTGGCTGAGGCATGGTCCCTTCACGCATCCCCCGAATCCCGGATCACGTAGAGCACGAGGCCAGCCAGGTCGCCCTGGGCTTCAGCCACCTACATTCAGTTCCTCCTCCACTCCGGCAGGGGGCAAGGGCAGCGGTTCGGGGCCGCCCAGTAGCTGGCGGCGGCCGCGGGGCGGACCGAAGCCGCAACGGGCGGCGAGCGCAGTGGGCGGGGCGGCCGAGCCGGGCGGCGGCGCCGCAGTGACTCGCTGGGCCCGGCAGAGGCGGCGGCTTCCGAGCTTTCAGAGAAGCGGACCGGGTGGCCAACTGGACCCTGCTGCCTCCAGCGACCTTTGTGCAGAGCCCCTCACTCCTCGGGCCGCTGCGGTGGTCGGCACACCCGGGAAGGGCGGCCACCGCGGACAGGTTAGCGTGGGGGAAGGGGCGAGCGCCAGAGTAGCCCATCTCCAGCCCGGGTGTCCGAGCCGGCCCATCTCCCACCATGTCGGACGAGACGTCGGCCACCACTTCTTATGAGAAGTTTCTAACCCCAGAGGAACCCTTCCCGCTCCTAGGAGCTCCTCGTGGGGTGGGCACCTGCCCCAGCGAGGAACCGGGCTGCTTGGACATCAGCGACTTCGGCTGCCAGCTCTCCTCCTGCCATCGCACGGATCCGCTCCATCGGTTTCACACCAACAGGTAAAGGAGCTCTTCCCGGAGCAGGGGCGGACTTCACGCAGCCCGGCAGGAGGCTGGAGGACGCCGGGTCGCGTTCTTGCGGTCTGCTCCCGGTCCCTCGTGCTGGGCTGAGCAGCGAGCTGCCCCCTCCCCCATTCTTCTTTGACCAAAGCTCTTTCCAGCTCCTCCCAGTCTTCACCCCCTGCCCTCTGATTTTTCGTAAGACCGGTTTCCCCGCACCTTCTTTCTTCTCCCCATTTCTTGTTTGGACTCTAGTGATTCCTCCCTTCCAGATCAGATCATCTCCTTTACCTCTTCGTGACCCCCGCCCCCATCTGTACGCTGAGAATCCTAAACCCCAACTCTGGATTTTTAGATTCATTTGCAAAAGTTTAACCCTTTTCATTTCCGGTATATTAGAGTAGATTTGAGCGAACCCAAAATCGATCTGTGGGTTTTATGAAAGAAAGCACTTTCAACATTCCAGTCTCATCTTTCTCAGTTTTTAACCTCGCCCTAAACTATATTGTACTGGAGCATTAGAAAATCTGTCTCCCTCCCCTGCCCGCCTTGTTGCTTCGAAACCAGGATCTCCTCACTTAGTCTATCAGCAAAACTGGTTATACAGTGAGGATGACCTTGAACTCTTGAACCTCAGCCTTTGTCTCCCAATTTCTGAGATTACAAATATTTGTCATGTCCAACTAAACTTTCTGTATTTTTATCAGTTCAACTTCTTAATTTTCTTTTTGCAGCACTGTGGATTAGTAACAGCCTCATTTATGCTAGACAATCAGTCTGACAACTTAGCTATACCCCTAGCCTAGAAACTAGTCAATTTTTCCTCTCCTTTATGAACACCTTGCCTTACTTCTGTAGGCTATCCCAAAAACGTAAACTCTGGAAGATTCCTTCCTAAAACATACTACGTGGTTTGCATCCCTGGTAAGGGAAGTAGAGCAAATGTAGGATGGGCTGATTTGTACAAATAATTTCTTCAGAGGGTTCTTCTAAATTATTTTGTTGGAAAGCAATGTTCTGGACATGCAAGTATTTAAGTGTTAAATCTAATTTGGGCGATACAAAAGAGGTTTTCAATTTGGCCTCAACTTTTAAAAGTAGTTTATTTTATATTTTATTTTAGAAGGAGTGTGTGTGTCAGGGGTAGGTATATGCATGTGAGTGCAGGTGTCTGTGGAGACCAGGGACATCAGACTCCATGGAACTGAAGTTACAGGTGGTTGTGAACACCCTGTATGTGGATACTGGGAACAGAATTTGGGTCAGCTGCAAGAGCAGTGCATCATCTTAACCATGGAGCCATGTTTCCAGCCACTCAACTTTATACACGAACACACACACATGAGGGCTTGTAGCGTGTGAATAGGAGATGAAGAAAACAATCCATGTATGGATAATAGAGATAAGGAATGCAGTTTGGTCTCTGGTCCAGGTTTGCTGTGTGTGTGTTTGGTTACATCCATCCATATTTTGCGCATATTCCCCTCCGATCTGTACATCAATCTATCTGTATTGTGTAGCTTAGGCATTTACATATATAATGAGATTTTAAAAGGTAAATTTCAAAAAACAAAAAAGGTAAATTTATAGAATTGGGAAACAAGGTTATAGGGAAACAATCATTTAGAATATCAGTACAACACATTTTAAAATGAGATGACAGTGAGTTTTTTACAAAAATTCTAAATCTTTATTGCATACTGAAGAAACTGAGGCCCACCGAGAAAGACGAAAGTGTGAAGTTCATAATTCCTAGTGTGATAAAGGCCTTTTAGTCATAGACTACTCCTTTGGGGTCAGTGATAAACTTGTATTAATTCCAGCACTGGGAGTTTGAGGTCAGCCTGGTCTACAGACTGAGTTCTAGGACAGCCAGGATTATTACACAGAGAAATCCTGTCTAAAAAAAGCAAAAAAAGCAAGATGGGAAAAAAAAAGAACTAAAGAATCTAATGGTATCAGTGGTCACAGAACTTAACACATACAGAAAATTGACAAAATTAAGTGTACTTAAGGTATTTAATTTTTGAAGCCCTAAATAAATTTCAGAATTCGTCATCTGTGGTGATTGATTGAGGATAAGCACTGGCAACATCTGGTGGTTACAATAAGGTGTGGGGTGTGAGGTGAGGGGCTGGAGAGATAGCTCTGTGGTTGAGCATGTTCAGCCAGGGCTGTCTCACAGAGAAATCCTGTCTCAGAGAGAGAGAGGGAGGGAGGGAGGGAGGGAGGGAGGGAGGGAGGGAAGGAGGAAGAAAGAATGAACTGTTCTGGAAAAGAACACAGATTCTTTTCCCAACATTCAAAGATTTTTTTGGTTTTTCTTTTACAACTTGTTCTCCTCCGTTGTCACCCCTTAAAGACTCTAAAGATCAAGGCTGTTTTCCAAAGTAGGTCAGTAGTCAGGGTGGAAAGGGGAGGTGAGATTCTATTAAGACTCAGTTTTCTGAAGTCAAACGTTTCTCCTACTTCCTGTCTACTTATGTATTTAGTTATTTTTATTTATTTCAGACAGGGTCTCATTCTGTAGTCTAGGCTGGGCTGGAAATCAGTGTGTAGTCCAGGCTGGGCTAGGTCTTCATACAGTTCTGTCCTGGTCTCCTGAGTACTAGGATCGAAGCAAGAGCCACCAAACCTGGATTGACTGTTTCATTTCTAACATCCCTTTTCGACCTAACTTTTCACAAGGCTTGTTTAGTTTTTCATTAGAAAGTAGTTGAGAAATGAATTGGTAATATATATACAATGGATGTTGCTCTAGACTACCTTTTTTATTATTGTTATTTTTAATGTGTTTATTTGGCTAGAGGTTTGAGATGAGGACTCATGTAGCCAAGGGTGGCCTTGAATTTGTGTTCTTCCTGTCTGTGTGTCTCAAGTATTGAGATTATTGGCATATATCACTAAACTTGACTTTTTTCTTTCGTTTTACTGTTTTTTTGTTTTGTTTTGTTTTGTTTTTTGATTTTTCAAGACAGGATTTCTCTGTGTAGCTTTTGAGCCTGCCCTGGAACTAGCTATGTAGACCAGGCTAACCTTGAACTCACAGAAATCCACCTGCCTCTGCCTCCTGAGTGCTGAGATTAAAGACGTGCCACCACTGCCTGGCTCTTTTCTGTGTGTGTTTCTTTTTCTCTTCCTTCCTTCCTTCCTTCCTTCCTTCCTTCCTTTCTTTCTTTCTTTCTTTCTTTCTTTCTACCTTCCTTCCTTCTTCCCTGCCTCCCTTCCTTTCTTTCTTTCCTTTTTTTTTTAAAGAAAGTTTTATTGCTCTGTATCTTAGGCTGGCCTGGACTTCACCATACAACTCAGGTTGGCCTAACTCATGGAGTCCCTACTTCCCCAGTGTGAGCCATCATACCTGTCCCTACTTCCCCAGTGTGAGCCATCATACCTGGCTTGCCTTTCATTTTAAATATTTTCATCTTCTTCAGTGTTCCGCCTTCTTGCTCTTCTACAAGATGGTGTTTGAGGAGATCATATGCTTGCAGCTGGTTCTTTGCAGAGAGAAGGAAACAGCTGTCATATATGTGGGCACAGTTTAACTTGTGGAGTTCTTTTACTTTGGAGTTGTACGCATCACTTTTTTTCTTACATACACCAGATATGAATATTTGAGCATGAAAATTCAACTTACAATTTAGTCATTATAAAATAAACTTTATTGCATTTAGAAAGTTTGTCAGTGGTTAGATATTTGGTTTATCTTTATTTTGCTTCCTGTTAGTTACCAAATAAGAAAGTGGCCAGACTATTTAAATAATGCCTTGATATGGGCCTTGTAATGATGACAGTTTGTGCCTTCTCATTTTTCAGATACCAGGCCATGTCTACAATCTCATTAATGCAGGAAGTCAAGGCATTAGTACATGACCTCTAAGGTTGGATCACATCTGTGGCACAGGTTGCCATACCAGCAGTCTAGATTTGGTGGAAAGTAAATGTCTTTATTAAGGAGAATCACTTGAGTCCAGGAGTTTGAAACAGGTCTGGGCTAAGTTTCTCAGCTCCCATCTGAGAAACATTTACCTTTGCCTATTACTGTATTTCATGATGACATTGGATTTGTGTTAGTATTCAGGCATCTGTACTGGCCTGTCCTTGGAGTTCTGACAGGATATGATGCCCTCAGCTGCAGCCACTAAGAACACCCCCTATGCATATTCACTATGTTCCCTTTTAAAAGGGCCCTGGCCACCTCCCATCCTTCCCTCCTCTCTCTCTTCTTCCCCCCTCTGTCTGTCTGTCCCTCCACTCCTCTCTGCCCCTTTCCTCCTCTCTCCTGCTGCTCCTGTCCTTGGAGGCTGGTCTCTCCCCTCCTCTTTCCCTAATAAAAAAAGCTCTCTGCTTGAACCCTGTCATATAGCATCTTCTTCCCTCATGATGCTTTTCTTAAATTACTACAGTTTGTCTAGAATTTTAGAAGAGTCGAATACATTTTAATAAATCAAAAATGAGATTAATAAAGTGTTAAATATATATCCAGTAAGTGTTAAATATATATGCACGTTTAAAGACATTTTCTTTTGGTGAGGTTCATTCATTGTTTAAAAAAAAAAAAAAAAGGATGATTTTGTTTTTACCTACCTTTCTATCTCTTGCTTCCTTCCTAACAATATTGGTAATGCCTGTAACTCAAATATGAGATGAAAGAGGATAATAAAACTACCAGATGAGTTGTTCCCTCCATCTTTTAGGAGACTATGTCATCGACATAAACTTGTAAAAAGTGTATGGGTGGGACAATACCTGACTTTTGTGTACCTTTCTGGTAGGATGTGAAATGAGCTACTGAATACATCAATGACTCAGTTGGGTGATTGGTTCTTGCAGAACTAGAGATTGTTCTAGAGCTCCATGCATGCAAAGTAAATGCTCTAGTAATATTGTGCATCCCTTGCCATATTTTTGTTTTGATCTTACAGGATCTTGCTGACTTGCCCAGGGTAATTATGAAGACTTTCTCCACCTCCTGTGCAGTTGGGATTATAAATGTGTACCAC